AAATGAAAGTATTTTGAATTTCTAAGTTTGTAGATACAGATTACTGTGGTTATATAATGTTCTTGTGCAAAATCTAGAGATTACTAAATAAATAGGTAGAGGCTGTCATCTGACTGACATCACTCCCATCAGTTGTTCCTATACAATGTTCTAGTAACTTACTCAAGAATTTGTACATTTCTGTTTCTGTTTTTGTTTTTTTTCAGGGTAAAAAAAAAAAAACCTGGGAATTTGAAAGAGTAAAGTTTATCATCCAATTGAACAAAATTACTTTCAAAAAAGCTAATTTGTTCTCTATCCAAAGAAACTGAGTCTAGAACCTGCCTATTTAAAGTTTAGATTTCTAGATTAAAGTCTAGAATTCTCAGTACTTTAAAGGAGGAATAATTGAGAAGTCCTAATTTTCAACCTCGGTATAAGTGGCTTGAAATGCTTTACTGTTAAAAAGAAGTTATGCAAAGCTGATTATTAACTTAAAATATTGGTAATTCTGGCTTACAAGGTTAAAATTACTCTAAGAACTGTGTATTTCAGTGAGAAAATGTACTTCTACTATGTGCCTTCTTTTAGATTTAATTTTACTTGATTGGCTGACATTACAAGTGTAATCAGAGTTGAGGCAGAAAGAATTGGGAGCCTAAAGTATGGGGGTGCCATAGGAAAGGAAAGAAAGGAGAAGGGCAAGACACAAAGCAGAGGCTAAATACATAGGATTTAACATTTTATTGCACGTGAAAGTTGAGGGTAAGAGAGCCTGTAAGGTTTTATAATGAGGGTTTTAAAAGAGAGAAGAGGGCTGGAGGTGTGGCTCAAGTGGTAGAGTGCCTGCCTAGCAAATGGAAGGAAGGAGGAAGGGAGGGGAACTATAAAGAACTAGAAGGTTTGGAAGAGATCAACTCAGTTTTAGATGTGAATTTTGAGACATGAGAAGACCACATATCAAGTTGTTGGTTCTCAGAAGAGCATATTAACATCCTGTGTAGACTTTTAAAAACCTTCAGACATGTGCCTGTAACCCCTACCCCCACTCCCCGACTGCTAGTCCTGCTTTACCCAGTATTATGACTTGGACTTTTAGGGGACATGTTAGAACCTTGAAAGAAAAAGTTGGGGGAAATTTTCAAGTCATATAATCCCACAGCTCCTCCAAAATTATGCATTTGGAAGGGAGGGTGTAATTTGGGAGGAGGAAGCCCATAGGTGATACTGATAAACATGGGTTCTGTCATTCTTCCAAACCAAATTAGAGAATTACTTAATGCTAGTAGGAAATCCAGTTGTCAGCTTGGGTCAGAGTTTGTGGTACTGATGCAGACTTGTAGCTAACTCTGCAAAAGAGAGGACCTGAAGAACTTGACCTGCTGGTAGCTGGAGACCAGGGTGGTGTGATCCTAGAGCTCTCAGAGAGCAGAATGGCCCAGGAGGAGTGTGGGAAGTGTTCGTCAACAGTACTACAGGGGCAATCAGATGAGGACTGCGTGCAGGGAAGTAGAGCTGTGGAGTGGTTATGGGGAAGAGACACCAGATTTTTAGGAGCCCAAGAAAGAGGGAGAGGATGAGCAGATGGAAAGAGCAGGTGTGAACTGTTTCATGTAGTTCAGCTGCTGCTGGAGAGAAAGGAGACGCTGGTAGATTGAAGCTGCAACAAGGTTATTTTTCCCTTTGGAGGATACTTGAGCATTTTGTGAACTAAGATAGAGAAGGAGTCAGAGTTCTTAGCATAGCACAGAAAGTCCTTTGTGATCTGTCCCTTGTCCCTTTAGTGTTACCCTCTCGAGGTCTCTACTTCAGCAAAAGTGAACTGTGTAGCTCTGCTGGCCTCCGTGAGCTCCCATCTCAACAATACCCGAGCTCACTAGTGCTGGGCTTCCTCACACCCATCTTGCTAGTCATCCTGCATCCTGTCACTCAAATGGTGGTCCAGGGGCCAACAGGAAGGGCATCATGTGGGAGCTTGTTAGAAATACAGAATTGTAAGTCACTCCCCGGACCTACTGGAGCAGAATTTGCATTTTTATAAAAGTCCCCAAGAGTTCTTGGCTCAGCTAATTGTAAGCACATTTTTTACATACATGAAAATCCGGTGGGGTGTTGAAGCTCTTGCAGGATATGGAAGAATACATCATAGCCTGGGCATTTTCCATACATCACAGTGAATTTAGGAACTTAGGGCTAGGTCCACTAACTGTCAGAAAGATCCCACTGTCAGAAAGATCCCTGTAATAGCCAGGCACCAGTAGCTCATGCCTGTAATCCTAGCTACTCAGGAAGCAGAGATCAGGAGAATCACGGTTTAAAGCCAGCCCAGACAAATATTCATAAGACTGTATCAAAAAAAGGGCTGTTAGAGTGATTCAAGGTGTATGCCCTGAGTTCAAGCTACAGTACTATTAAAAAAGGAAAAAAAGAAAAAAAAAGCAAACAAGAGCCCTATAATAATTGGGACAGCTAAAATAATGTCTCCAAAAACTTCCCTAAGGAGTTAGTAATACTGCTGTTGAGGAACACTGATTATGCTGTAGGCCTAGAAGTCTGGACTTTATTCCACTGCAGTGGTAACCACTGGAGGGTTTTGAATGGGGAGATGTAATCTCTGTCTTCTGTCTAGGCAGTGGGCTTCAAGGAGAGAAGCCAAGAAGTACAATTGGTAGAGCAAGGTTTTAGAAGCAAAACAAGGCAATCAAAGGTGCCAGGCATGGTGGTACACATCTGTAATCCCAGCATTTAGAGGCTGAGGCATAAGGATCTTGGGTTCAGGCCAGCCTGGGCTACATGGTGAGACCCTGTCCGAAGAAACAAAAGTTGCAGATAGTAGAATTCATTTTTAAAACAATAAAAAAGTCTTAAGTGGAGAGAAAGAGAATGGGTGATGGTGGAATAGACTTTGAGATAAAGACAAGACTTTGTAGTTCACTTTGGATGGCCTCAGTCTTCTCAGTAAAAAAAAAATTAATAGTGATTTCTTAACTAAGACCAAGATGGACAGAGGATTGAGAGTGGAAGAGATTGAGAATAGCTATTATAAAGAATGTAACCCAGGAAGCTGGGCACCATGGCTCATGCCTATAATCCTAGCTATTTGAGAGGCAGAGATCAGGGAGGATTGTGGTTGGAGGCCAGTCTGAGCAAAACATTTGTGAGACCCCTGTCTCAACCAATGGCTGGGCATGGTGGTTCATACCTCTCATGGTCCAGGCCTGGGCATAAAGCAAGACCCTATCTTGAAAATAACCAGTGCTTTCAGGGCCAGAGGTGTGGCTCAAGCAGTAGAGCACTGCCTAGCAAGTGTGAGGCCCTGAGTTCAAACCCCAAAAACAAACGAAGAATGTACCAGGGAATAACAGAGAACAAGGATTTAATAACAGCAATGGAGGGCCTTGTTATATGGACTTCTGCAGCCTTTCTCGGTAGATAGAGAGCCAAGGAAAGAGAGGGGTTCCTAGGTTTGTTCAGGATTGATGGATTGGTGTGGGGTATGGTCAGAAGAAAGAGGCACCCAAAGGAGCTAGTGAGGCCACAGCTGAAACAGTCGAAATGTTTGATGGTATAGTTAAGGCTCAAACAGAAAAAGGAAAAATCGGTAGCAACTAAAAGACCTGAGAATACAGGGAAGAGGTAATGGATGTCACAGTAAGTGCAGAAAGCGGATTCCACTGGAGACCTGCATTGGAAATCATAGTGACAGGAAGAAATTTCTGAGTTTGAGCTGTTAGAAGTACAGCAGTTTAAAGTGATAGCAAGGTTCAGGCCAGACAGCGCTTAGGAATCACGGAGCTGAAATGGAGCTGCAGATCACCATTTTATTAGGAATCTTGAAAGAAAGACTGCACCTGAGGGAAATTTAATTTCTTGTTAGGTTATTTTGTGACTTTATCTCATTTGCCTAACGCTTATGGTATTGCCTCTTCACACTAGAATAGGAACCCCAAGAGGAAAGGCATTTCATCTCTCAACTCTATCCCAGCATCAAAGCAATACCTGGCACATTGTAAGTGCTCCATCAATAATTGTTAAATACTTGTGAGCTGGCAGAGTGGCTCAAGTGGTAGAGCACCTGCCTAACAAGCATGAGGCCCTGAGTTCAAACCCCAGTACTGCCAAAATAATTGGTAAATGCTTGAATAAATAGCAAGTGCCATTTATTTATTAAGTACCTATTAGATATATGCAAAGTGTTTTGTACATTATTCCAAACCCTGAAAAGTAGGTATTTTAATCCTACTTTGTTACAAAGAAGATGGAAACAGAGGGACAGTTGGCAGACTGCCTGGGCTTGAATCCAGCGCTGCCACTCTCAGGCCGTGTGACCTTATCATCTGTGAAATAGCCATTTATAATACTTACCTCCTAAAAGTGCTATAAGAATAAATTAACTCATATGTACATACTTGTTAAATGCCTGGCACATGTAAGAACTGTAGAAATGTTTGTTAATCAAATAAAATAAACATAGTAGTAAGGGTAGGAGTTGGAATTCAAACCTAGGTTTGTTCAATCCAGCCTTCCTACAACATCAAGACAGTACCGTGTCGCATTGATTACACATGACATTTTTATGGTATTTCATTCCAAGAAGTCTAATCTTTCAAATGACCTTGTTTCTAAATATCTCAATGTGCTACTTCTGGTTCTGAAGTTCACTTGTGTCACATGACTCAACATTAAGAGCAAGGGTACCAAATGGTGTTACTTCACATGCACAGGATAAGTGTATTGTATAATATTAATCAGTACATGTTTGTGTGTTTTAGAAGTTTGATACACTCAGTATGGGAAAGCCATACCAATAGAAAACAAAAAAACACTTTATATGATTTAGTTCTCAAAGAACCTAGATTATTTGTGTGTCATACTGGAAACTGGTGCTTAGTGTGTGGTTCCCTGTGTGATCCCTACACTGAGCACCATCTGCCTCACGCATACATTTTCCTGTTCGTTCTCATGTGTGAAGTCAATAACAGACTACTAAATTTGTAATGGCCATTCCTATTTCATTTTAGGTTTTATGTTTACAATAAAAAGAAACGTCTTGTCAACACGCCTTACGTGGATAACTCCTATAAGTGGGCTGGTGGAGGATTCCTGTCCACAGTGGGTGACCTTCTGAAATTTGGGAATGCCATGCTGTATGGTTACCAAGTTGGGCTGTTTAAGAACTCAAATGAAAATCTTTTACCCGGATATCTCAAACCGGAAACAATGGTGATGATTTGGACCCCAGTCCCTAACACAGAGATGTCTTGGGATAAAGAAGGCAAGTATGCCATGGCTTGGGGTGTCGTAGAGAAGAAGCAAATGTATGGCTCCTGCAGGAAGCAGCGCCATTACGCCTCACACACCGGGGGCGCAGTGGGTGCCAGTAGTGTCCTGCTGATCCTTCCAGAAGAACTGGACACAGAGGCCATAGCCAGCAAGGTTCCCCCAAGAGGAATAATTGTTTCTATCATATGTAACATGCAGTCCGTTGGCCTCAATAGCACTGCTTTAAAGATTGCCCTGGAATTTGATAAAGACAGATCAGCCTGGTAATATCACAGGTGCATAATTAGCTGTTTTGGTTTTTGAAAGTTGATGTCCCAAAATACATGAGATTTTTAACGTTTGTAATAAGAGTACAATCGAATGTGGAGAATTATGTACCTCTAATTGCTTAATTTTGTAACTTTTTATTGTAGAATTCTTTACACTCAGGGAAGTAATTTTTGTTTGTACTTTTTAAAAAAAGTGTTAACTCTTAAAATAAAATATTCTGATAAAAACACTTTGAATGTGTTAGAGAAAATCTCATTCACCAAGAGTCTCCAAATACTGACCTGTTAGTATGATAACACAGGATTATAAGAAAGTATGTGTCGTGATGTGTATTGGAGCTTAAAAGAACAAGCATTTGTCATCTCACAGTTTCTGACACTCAGGAATTGAGGAGTGATGTACTTAGTGAGTCTGGCACAGAGCCTGTAACTGTAGCCAAGGTGTCACAGTTGTCTAAATGTGGTTCTTTGGGATTGGAGGAAATGCTTTCAAGAGGGTCTGTGTGACTGGAGTCAGGCCTGTGGCTGGTGAATGGCAAGAGGCTTCAGTTTGGGGAGAGAAGAGGAAACAGCAGGCAGAAGTTAATATATTTCATAAGGTAGCTTCAAGTTCAATAACATCACATGTACCATATTCCACAGGTAACTGGGTTTACTCAGAGTATGAGTATCAGGACATGAGAGTCACCTTGGATGTCGGATGCCACACTGTGATCTCTGGTCCCCAATAATTGATGTCCTTCACACATGCAAAATACACTTACCTCTTCCCAAGTCCTCCAGACATTTCATTCCATCATAGTATTAGCTCAAAGCCCAGTATTTCCGTATCTTATCACCTAAGTCAGGTCTAAATGTGAATAAGGTTCCTTGAGAGTAGTTCTAGTGTGGTTCCTTAAGTATAATAATTCAAGTACAGTTCCTTTTGATCTTAAGACCTGTGAACAAGCCAGGCACCAGTGGCTTACGCCTGTAATCCTAACTATCCAGGAGGCAGAGATCAGGAGGATCGAGATTCCAAGCCAGCCCTGGCCAAATAGCAAATAGTTCACAAGACACTATCTTGAAAACTATCCAACATAAAACAGGGCTGGTGGAGGGGCTCAAGTAGTAAGAGTCCCTGCATAGCAAGTCTGAGGCCCTGAGTTCAAACCTTAGTGGCACATAAAAACAAACAACTGTGAACTAAGTCATTTGCTCCCTACATGTACAATGTACAATGTCACAATAGCAACTGAGTAATTGTAGACCCTCCTGATCAAAAAGTGCAGCAGTGGAGGGCATGGCAGCTCTGAAACCCAATAGGACATAACTTCGCAGCTCCCAGATCAGTACTCAAGGCTTGGGAATAATTCCCGGATCTTGGCTGTGCTCTCAGGGCTCTCAGCTCTGCGTTCCAGTTCTTTGTTTATGAAAGGTCACAAGTGTTTCCAGCTGAGTGGTTTTCTCAGCTATCTCCCCTTTGTAGATGTTTGTGGGTGCTTTCTTGGTCCTTTCAGTCTAATTAGCAGTATCGCCGCTAATACACTCGTTTTTAATGCAAATCTTGTTGGAGTTCCCGCCACTAAGACAAAAGCTACACCCAAAACCTTTATTTATTTATTTTTTTAATTTTTTCTTTTATTCGTATGTGCATACAATGTTTGGGTCATTTCTCCCCCCTTCCTGACCTTTAAAATAAGCCTCTAATTTGGGATTGATTGCTACCGATACCATGTTTTGCTAAAAGGTCCTAGATTTTATCTTTGCCTTGAAGTCAGTTTTAACTTTAGCATCATTTGTCATCTAAAGAGTTGAGAATTTAAAAATCTATTGTTTTGGTTTTTGGGGGTTTTTTTGTTTGTTTTTTGAAACAGTCTTGCTCAGTAGCCCAGAGTGGATTCAAATTCATAATCCTCCTGCTTCAGCCTCTGGAGTGCTGGGATTACAGACATGTACCACCACACCCAACCGTATTTGTCAAATAGTTCTTCCCTTATCTCTCTCTCTCATGTTAACATAAGCAGCAAGAACCCACAGGCTCACTGAACACTGTGTCTGGAAAGCCTGCTAGATAAGCCAGTTCCTGAGGCACATTTTCTATTGTGTTACTGCAAGCAACAGTGTTGCTACATTTTTTGCCACTACAAATCAAGAATCTCCTCTCCCCCCATCTCCAATAACATTTTCCTTGCTTTCCCTCAATCCACATCTGTAATGTCCTCAAAGGCTGGCATACATGTAAACAGTTTCTTCAAGGCTACTTGGGTAAGTTCTTCCAACTTCCATCCTCTGCTCTTCCCAACCCATGTTTTTTCAGATATAATTCACAGTTCACATTCCATAAGACTCACCCTTCAAAGCATACAACTCAGTGGCTTTCAGTGTATTTACAAGATTGTGAATCCAATTCCAGAAAATTTCACCCAAAAAAGAAAACTTTATACCCATTAACATTCCCCATTCCTCTCTCCTTCCAGCCTCTGGCAAGCAACAATTTTTACTTTTATCTCTTTGGATTTGCCTATTTGTCACTTAATATAAACGGAATCATACAATATGTGGCTTTTTATGTAGTATAGCTTATATTGCTGCGTTAAAAAAATTACCCCCAAACTTATTGTCTCATTGTTTCTGTGTGCAGAAGTTTGGGAGCAGCTTAGCTGGGTGATTTTAGCTAACAGTCCTCACAGAAGGTTGCCAGCAAAATGCCAGCAGTGACTTCAGTCATCCGAAGGTTTGCCTGGGGGAGTAACTGCAAGATGGCTCACTTGTGGCTATAGGCAAGAGGCCTGTTGCTTGCTGAGTTTTGGTGAGAGAACCAGTTTCTCACCACACAGGTCAGCTTCATCTTGCTATGACTTCCCCTACAGTGAATGACTGCAGAGAGAATCAAGAAAAAGCCACAGAGGTTTTTGTAATCTAGCCTTGGAGGTCATATTGCCATGACATAAGGCAAATTCTATTATTTACAGAGACCAACCTAAATCAGGGGGAAGAGGAAGGTGGGACTCATCAACAGCCATCTTGAAGATTGGTTTATTGACCTTGAGAAACTTTGTTGTAGCAGCCACACATGGTATATATGGAGATTACCAATGTGCTACTGAAGTCAGGAAAACTCAAGAAGTCAACATTTCTTTGGTTTTGTTTTTTGGTGGCACTGAGGTTTGAACTCAGGGCCTCGTGCTTGCTAGGTAGGCACTCTATCACTTGAGCCACTCTGCCACTTCTAGAAGACAAAAGGATTTTTCTGTAGATCTTGAGTCTTCATTTTCTACTTTGTAAACATAACTAGATACTCTGGGTTGTATGAAGTATAAAGTTCCCTGAAACAGGTCCACTTCATCTCAGTATTTCTTTCAGGCTTCTCTTGATCTCTAGGTCTTGTATTCATGTTTGGCAAATTTTTCAATTGGTGCCATCTTAAGCAAAAATTCTATGCCTTCCTCTAATGTTACCTTAAATATTTGTTCAACATTGTGACTAAAGCAAATCAAGTTGACATTCTTAAAGTTCCGAACTTTGAGAGAAGCAGCTATTTGATCATGTGATATCAACTTAAGTGGTTGAACCTTTGCACACAGATGGCAACTTAAAGACCAAATGCAGAAGCTCCTGCTCTTAGGATTTAAGAGGCCTTCAAGCTTGCCCTCACTCTCTGAGAACACCACCCCAAGAGTGCCATGTCAGGAAACTCGACTAGCTTACTGGAGAATTGAGATGCCTAGCTGCCAGACAGACCACTAAAGCCATCCCAGCTGTGTCTCCAGCTTAGGCAGCCATATGAGTGAACCAAGATGAGACCAGCAGACAGCCTGCTAGTCCACATAATCATGACAAGTAATCTCATCAATTTAAGGCACTAATTAAAGTATGCCAAAAAGTAAATTTTGGAGAAAAGATAAAACTGAATACTTGCATTTTGAAGACACCACCTCTTTTTGGTTGGTTGAACTCAGGGCATGTTTGAAAAGTATGTGCTCTACTGCTTAAGCTATACTTCCAGTCCACTTTGCTCTGGTTATTTTGAGATGGAGTCTCACAAACTATTTTCCCAGGCTATCCTTAAACCTCCATCCTCCAACTCTCAACCTCCCAAATAGCTAGGCTTACAGGCATGAGCCAATGATGCTCAGCGGCTTTAGTTCGTTTTGGTGGTACTGGGGCTTGAACTCATAGCCTCTTGCTTGCTAGACAAGTGCTCTACCACTTCAGCTACATTCCCAGTCCCATTGTTTAATTAAAAAAAAAAAAAGCTACCCAGTGTACTTACTGTATGAAAGGCATTATGCTAAGTACTTTTGTATGTTATTTTATCTTTAAAGCAATCATATAATGCAGAAATTATCCTTATTTTTCTTTGGGTCACAAATCATTAACCACTAGAACTTATCTGAAGCCCAGCTATATCTGAGTTTAAGTCTATTTTAATCATTATCCTGCTTTTCCATAAAAAGTTATCTGCAGTAATTTTCCAGTCAAAAAAGTCAGGAATCTTTGCTCTCACTTCCTGCATGAACAGGAAATGTTTTTTTGCCTGTTCCTCTCCTAATAAACTTTTTTTACCAAAAAGCCAGTTCATAATATGTAATCTTATCAATAGTTCACTAAAAAAAAATGAACACATGCCTAGTAGGTATGAGGCCCTGGGTTCAATTCCCAGGACCACATAAAATAATTTAGCCAGGTATAGACATTTTAATTAATGAGACTGCAAAAAATATATAATTTTCAAATTATTACGAAGCCAAAACAAAGAGAGTATAGTCATGCTCTTATATACTCCCTTTGTTCTCAATATAGAACACAAAATGAGAAAATAAAGACATTTGTGACTACAAACACTGGACAGGGATGAAGCTGAGGATCTTCTGAGCTCTGGATGCAGGAGGTGGCAGCAGCTTCAATTTCTGATCCTGTACAATAATCAACACTAAAACCACATCCCTAAGAAAAATTTAAGATGCAGGCTTTTAATTAATAGAAATACTCTGGTATAATAGGGAGGAAGTAAGCCAGAATATGCAAAACAAAAATAAACCAAGAAAATCTGCTATTCTGGCAGCCCCCTTGAGACAAGATTAAGGCCATTTAAACAGGGATCAACAGCATTTGCCTATACTTACGAAAATGTAGCTATAATATCCTAAAAGATGCATGTGTCCCCAAATCCTAATAATTTGGAAATGATCTGAAAATCAAATGTTTAGGGCTTGTGTTCTTAAAAATGAAATATGAAGTCATCAGAACACACTTTTATTCAAAATTACATACATAGTAAAAATGGACAGCATACTGACATACTTAAATAAAACACAAGGATTTTTCCATAATCAAAACTTTATTGAAAAACCGACAGAAAATAGGAGATCATTGTTGAATACCTTACAAAATCAAACATCATTACATCATCTTGGTAGAGTCACTGAACTTATAAGGCTTTCTGTGAGAGAACATAAAACCAGGAAGTTGTTAGATCATTAGTGCTGCTTTCTTCTAAATGAACAACCTGCAAAAGAATTATGAATGTATATTATTGCCTATTTGGTGTAATTTTAGTGGCAAAAGTACTTTTTACGTAAAAGCTTAAGTTGGGAAATATTGTTTACAAATTATTGATCCTTTTAGATCACGAATTTGCTGTAATAAATATTATCTCAGTTTATTCTGACATGACTATAACTGCACTATGGTTTTTTTGAATGAGTCATTTAAGACCATGAGCCTGAATTCAGAGGTTGAAACAGTTTTGAAGACACACTTAAGTTTTAAGAACTATTCTGAATAATTTTCCTAACTTTTTAAATAGATTTCAGTATGACATTTTCACAAGTATTTAATACATTTCACACACACCCCCCCAAGCCCCATTGCCCTCTCCTATCATCCCTCCCCTTCCTCTTCCTAAACAGTGCTCCTAACAAAGTAAGAGTTGTTAGGAACTGTTAGGAAAACTGCTACTAATGTGCCCTCTAACTCCTGTCAGGATATGTATGCAAAACTCTAAGATCTTAACATAAAATAAAGGTTTCAGAAATCTTGCAAGTATACTTTAGAGCAGTATGTTATGCTGACTTTGACCTCAGAGCTCACCAGGTGTCATATCAAACAGATCTTGGATTTACTGCTAAACCACTTGTAATAATGAGAACCTGGAATTCACAGCTCCCCAAAATATCACAAGCAAATTTCAAATGTCATTCTGGAATTTCAATCGGAAAGTATTACTAAGAAAAACCATTCAGACTATTTTTTTTTTCCTGCACCAAAGTGAAAGAATTAAAATTAGATTTTTATATTAAGCATTAAGTAGTTGTTCATAAAAACAAAACCTGCAGCATTCTAGTTTATACATTAGTCGCTTGTTCCATAACTGGCAATGACTTAAAAAAAAAAAACCAAACAACTATCATATGTACCAAATACACATAGCAAAATAAGTCTTATGTTATCCTTGTCTTACTCTTGCTTCATTCTGATGTATTTTTAATTCATTCCAAGCTAAGCAAACTGAGTGAATAAATACATAAGATTTGGGCATTACAAACTAAGAAAAATAATAAAGGAGACCACTGTAAGCACACAAACTTATCCAATTGAACTGGGCACTCTTTACAGAAAGAGTCCACAATAAAAGACAAAGTTTCATTGCTGTGTTAGAAAATGACATACCTTCTGTGAGCCTGGCTTTTCCTCCTGTAGGCTGACACAGCACTGTTGAACAACCTACACAAAGAACCACTGTTTGAGCATGGCTGAAAACCGTGGTTATCTTGTAGCAACCTTAATAAAAAAAAAATAAAATAAAAAAAGGCAGTATTAGTATAAAAACTCAGTAGCACTTGTTCAACATACTTCCATGTAAATACATTACTTACATAATACATATTTCTTGTAAAAGATAAAGAACTCTACTGCTCTGCAACAAGCCACATATGTCACACAAACTATTCTTGTATTTTTTAAGGTGAAATGAACATTCTTATCAAACTTAGTATTTCCAAAAAATTACTATTTCCACATGTAATCAGTCATTTTTTTTTCATGCTACATGTTCAAAGACCCTTACCATTAAAAAGACCATCTTCATTTTAACTGGACACATCTTGAGGCTAAGAGCCACCAACTTAGGCAGCACAGCCTGAGACTGCAGACTCAACATACTTTTCACAGAATCCTGACAAAGAAACTCATGTGAACAGCTTACTAAGTCAAATATCATATCCTCTTTGGATGCCCACCTTCACCCACGTTGAGTTTATTATGAAAATGTCCCCTGCGACAATCCTGTAATCTCCCTTCTATTCAAGTCTTCATCTATCTAATTCCAAAACTGCAATCGTCACGGAAATTCCCCTTAGGGAAAGAATTGAGACTTGAAACTTTACCTGGACATTTTACATCCATAAAATACGAATTTGGACTTTGAACTAGTCGTTTTTTTTTATGTTTTTTCTTTTCCTCTTCCAAGGACGGATGAAGTAAATCTCTAGCCAACTTTAAAGAAGAAAAGAAGCATGTTATTACCACTGGATTAAAGCCACAACGGGGGTCGATTTAACCATATGGGAAACACACACGCAAAACAGGAAGAGGGCCGAGGCCACACTTGGGATGGTAAACCCGATAACATTCATCAACACTGCGCTCGCCGAGTCCCTATCACAGAACGAGAAGAAATGGCTAATCCCGTTCTCCTTTACTCTCCGAAATAACGTCTTCGGTAAGAACCATGGCGCAGTCGTAAGGAAGGAGACGGACCCCGGCTCGCGGGGTAGAAACCGCCCAACACACAGCGAACGCCAAGGCCAAGGCGGCCTCTGCCCGGTCCAAGTCCCATCTGACGCCCTTGACGGACTTAAGCAGCTGCTGAGACGGTTGAGGAAATCAGAAAGATCCCGACGGTCCCAGTCTCGCCCGCGCCCACCACAACCCGAGGGGGTCCAGCGAGTGCGGCTGGAGGCCGTTCCTCTCTCCGCCACCGACTCCACCAGGCTCCACCCCAGGTAAGGCCGCCACGCCGCACCCTGCCCGGGCAAGTCCCAACAAGCCCGTCGTGAAGGAACGAAGGAAGGAGGCGCCAGCCCAAGCCGCCCCGCGGCGCCGGGCAGGGAGCACCTCGACCCGGGGAGCCGCCCCGGTGTGACTCTCGACAGAAGTAATCCCACAGCCCGAAGTCAACAACTCACAGGCATGGTGGCCCTTTCGCAAGTCTAACCCGTCGCGATCGCTCAGACGACGGCCACCTCCAGCGAGCAGCACGCGAGCGGACACTCAGCACCAACTTCCGGGATAGAGGCGGCTGGGCGGGGCAGAGCGGACCGGGGCGGGGCTGGGCGGGGCAGAGCGGACAGGGGCGGGGCGGGGCAGAGCGGGGCGGGGCGGGGCGGGGCAGAGCGGACCGGGGCGGGGCGGGGCGGGGCGGGGCACGGCGGGGGCGGCCGCTCTAGGCGCTCGTCTCGATGGTGCGGGGTTTCCCGCCGCCTCCAAAGTCCCGGCTATTCGCGGCTCCGAGAGCGGCACCGATGCGATAGTCCCAAGCCCCCCCAGCCTAACGGGCTCCTGGACTAGGTCACCACCCCGCCCTGGGCCAGCGGAGCCCAGGCCAGGTTCGGGCGAGTGTGAGTCGGCTGGAGGACCGCCGAGCTGGGACTCGGACCCGCCCGCCTCTCAACCAACCGGTGCTCTCTCGGTTCGCCCTGCGGCGTCACACGGAAAGATGCGACTGTTCTCTGTTCTTTTGTATGTTAAAAATGCGATATTATTAACTATCATATGCCACAGAAGGATTGTGAGATAGGTGTGACCAGTGCACCTACCTTGCAAGGTGCAGGTTTTTAAGTCCTCTGCAGGATGCGGCAGTTCTCTAAGTTCATTGCTTTGAAATCTTTTTTGGATGCTTGGGGTTTGTTTGCAGTACTGGGAAGCGATCTCAGGGCCACCTGAATACTAGACAAGTGCTCAACCACTATGCTAACACACACACCTTAAAAAAAAAAAAAAACACGACTTTATTTTGAAACAGGATCTCTTGCCAATGTGGCCCTCAAACTGGAGGCGCTCCTGCCTCAAGCTCCAAAGTAGCTGGGATTATAGCAACAGTCCACTACGCCCTACCCTGAAATCTTTTTTTTTTTTCAGCTGTGTCCATTCGCTGCTGGGCTGTGCTTGGTGTTTTTTATGCCCCTTCCTACCCTCGATGTTTATGCGTAATTGGGACTGCACCCATAGCCAGACCTGAAATCTTTCTAATGAGGAAGACAAGGTTGAAGGATGGCGTGAGCAGCTTGACCAAGAAATTGCCTTACCAACTTTCCTAATCACCTTTTATTGCACTTTGCAAAAAAAAAAAAAAAATGCATGTGTAATCACTTTGGAAAATGTGGAAGAACAGAAGGATATGAAAATTACCACCCAGATATAACCATTGTTAAGTTTTAATCTTCCAAATATTTTTTTAAACTCACTTGCATATAGGCTTATTTGGGATTTTGGTTTTGTGTGATTGGGATCACTTGTGTACAATCTTTTCTAGGTTTTTCTCCCCACTAACTTTATAATGAATATCATATCCTGATACTGTAAGAGGTGCTTAAACTGCTTTTGCACTGAAAAGCACTGGCTCCTTACTTGGGTCCACAAATTAACTAAAAACAGGAGATCAGCTTGGCATCTGTGCCTCCATTTTGTACCTGTTGTCCTTTGCGCTGAGATATTTTCTCTGCAGTCACTTTGTGATCACCTTGGATTCCAGAAAGGACAGAACTGAACATCTTTATGACAAGGGACTGAAACTTCAGTTTCAGGAACAGCAGATCCTTAGAAGATAGAGCACCCCTCCAAATGAAGACAATTACTTATAATGATGAGACTGCACCCTGGAGCAGGGTGAGATGGTTCCCATCTTATGGGAACTATATTGTCCCCTCAATTGACGAAAAAACGATGGAACCTTCTCTGGAACCCTCAGACTGAAATAATAGTCAATCAGAACACACCTGTGACTAGGACTGTTTAACTATGCATACCTTTTGTCCCCTGCCCCCAGTTCGTTTGTCTACTGAAACATATCTGTACCCCAAAGATGGGCTGAGTGCTTACTCTGCCTCTTCCTACAGCATGTCCCAAGCTGTGTAACAAATCTCCTTTCTCTGTCCTTTACCATGTGTTTTTTTGGCATTTAGGGTTGAATAGTCAGACCTGGCATGTGGAATCCCAGGAGTTTGGGCCTGGGGTCCAAAACTCTGGTTTCAATACTATATATTCTCTTGCCTTTTGATTGTTAATGGGCACATAGCATTTATCCGTGAATACATATATCCTCATTTCATCAATATACTAAGTTGGACATTAGGTTTAGCTTTTTAAAGATTTGACTTTAAGGCATTAATGAAATAACATAAATAAACATTAAATATTGTTATGGTTTGAATATGAAATATTCCCCCTAGACTCCATGTGTTGACCCATTAGTCCCCAGCTTGTGGTGCTATTTTGGGAAGTGGTGGAAACTTTAGATGTTCACCCTTTCTCCCATGAGATGATAGGCCACTTCTGCACCTCCCACTGCCATGATGTTCTGCCCAAGTTCATGAAGTCAATCAACAGTGGACTGTGAGCAAAATAAACCTCCCTCCCCAGTGGACTGTGAGCAAAATAAACCTCCCTCCCCAAGTTGTTTCTCTCAGGTACTTTGGTCACAGTGACTTAAAAATACCTAAGACAAAAAATTGGTACCAGAAAGTGTGGGCATTGCTGTTAAAATGTGACCATGAGGTTTTAAAGCCTTTGGAACTGGTTTGGAAATGTTTGGAGAAGCCAGCCAGAGAAAGAAAGCCTAAGATGCTATAAACAGAGCTTAGTGCGCAGTTCTAGTAGGAGCTCAGAAGACCAGACTGTCTACCGGAACAGTAAAGACTGTTCTCATGAGGTTTCAGATAGGAACAGGACTCTGTTGGGAACTGGACAAGAGGCCATGCATATTGCATTCTGACAAAGAAGTTGCTTGTATCTTGCCCATGTCGGACAATCTGTGGGAGGCTGAGTTTAAAGGTATCAGACTAATCTGGTGGTGGAGATTGAGAGGAATCCCAGCATTCAGGTTGTGGCCTGGTTATTGCTGCTCGTTTTAGCTAGACTTACAATGATAATCAGGAGTAAAAAGCAGAGCAAGAACACTCTAAACACTTGTAGTTTGGTCAGAAAAACCTATCTGACTTGGAAATAAGAAAGGCATGGTTTCTGAAGAGATTGGCCCCATGAAAAAAGAAGCTCTGTACTTTGCATGGGGACAATAGGAAAGAGCCCGCCCATCCTAGGCTCAAGAAAGTTGTTTCCCCAGGTTTCATTTGATCTTGCTCAACACCCAGGCACTCCAGAAGCCATTGCATCCATGATGCAAGTGGGCCTGACTACCATTCACACTTGCAGCATAACTTGGCATCATCCATGCAAGAGTTATTAGATCATGAGGCTTCCACCCTGATTTCAAGGAAGGCCTGGGAACCCTGGCAATGTATGGTAGGGTCTGAATCCCTACAGGCAGAAGCCCTGAGAGGGTAATCAACAAGGCTATAAGGATATGCCTAAGCATCAATGAAGACTTCAGGATGTTAGAGATGCCAGGAGCATGGAATGTCTGTTGTGGAAAGCCACAGGCAATGAGTGGAGCCAAGAGAAAGGCCATGTGGGCTGCAAAGGATAAGTTCATAAGGGCAGGACTGCCCAAGACTGTTGGAGCTCATATCACAATACATTGTGCCCTGGGTAGTGGCCATGGGTATTGGACATACAGCTATAATATTTAGTGTTTGCCCTGCTGGATTTCAATCTGACTTTGGTCTGATCCTTCCTTGCTTTTCTCATATTCCTCCCTGGAATGGAAATGTTCACTCCATGCCATTGTATCTTGGAAGTATATAACTTTAAAAGTTTGTCTTGAGTCTCAGAAAAGACTGGATTTTGAGCAATCTTGGAATTGTTAAGTTTGGGGAAATCTTGGAGTTGGGTTTAATGCATTTTGCATTATAAGAGGGCTGTGAGCTTTTGGGAGCCAGGACTGAATGTAATGGTTTGATTATGAAATATCCCCTACAGGCTCATGCGTTGGATGCTCAGTCCCTAGCTGGTGATGCTGCTTTGGGAGGTGGTAGAAAATTTGGGAGATAGGGTCTGCTGGAGGAAGTGGATGGCGGGGGCATGACTTTGAAGGTTATATCTGGTCCCCAGGCTCTTCCTTGCTCTCTGCTTCCTATCCACCATGTACAGCCTCCTCTGCCACAGACTCCTGCTGCCATGATGTTCTGTTCAAGCATTCAGAACCAAGTAACCATGGGCTGAACCCTTTGAAACCATGAGCCAAAATACATCTTTCCTCTCTAAAGGTGTTTCTATCAAGTATTTGGGTCATAACTACAGAAAAGTAACTAATATAATTGTCATACAGATAAGTATATACATTAACACATTGTCTGGGCAGAATAATGGCCCCCAAAGATACCAATATCCTAATCCCCACAACCTGTAGTTATTTGGCAAGTACAATTAAGGTTGCCAATTAGCTGGCTTTAAAGACATTATCCTGGATTATTTGTGTAGGCCCAATGTAATCACAAGGGTCCTTAAAAGTGGAAGACAGAAGAGAATCAGAGAAAGAGATGTGGTGAAGGAAGAAGGACCTGAGAAATTTGATGTTGCTAGCTTTGAAGATGGAGGAAGGGAGTCTGTGATCAAGGAACTTAGGCAGCCTCAACATGCCAGAAAAGGTGAGAAAATGGATGCATCCCTAGTGCCTCCAGAAAAGGACACAACTGCCAACTCCTCAATTTTAGCCCAGCAAGACCTGGGCCAGACTTCAAAATACAGAACTGTGTTGTTTTAAGCCATTAAATTCATGGTAATTTCTTACAATGGAAGACTAATGCAGTAATGGAGACTTATGTCCTCATCACCACTCAACTCTGTCAAATCTTAATATCCATCATTCCTCCCCACACACAATTTTTCACTACTAAACAGCACCATAGTAAACATTCTCATAAATAAGTTTTTGTGTACATCCTTGATTATTGTCCTAGGATAAATTCTTAGAGGAGAAATTGCAGAGTCAAAAGTTGTGCACGTTTTAAGGTTTATACAATAAACTGCTAAATTGCCCTCCAAAGAAGTCAAAACAATTTACATTCCAGATGAAGCTATATGAGCATGTCCCTCTTCTCCACCCTTGACAATACTGGGTATTATGTTTTTCCTTAGCCCAATCAATGCAGAAGAACTGAGAAGTATTTTGTC